TCCTCTCCCTCCTCCCCCCTCCCCTCCCCTCTGCTCCGGCCACACGGGCTCCCTGTGAGGTGGGTCTGCCTCTCTGGCTTCACAGCTGTCAGCAGCGTCTAGAACAGTGCCTGATGCACCAGGAAGTGTGAGCGAGGGCTGCCCTCACTGGCTCTTCAGCTCCAGAGTGGGGACCAGAAAAGAGCTGTGTCCCAGCCTCAAAATGACCCCACAGTCCTTGTCCTCCGGAAAAGTCTCCGTGGCCTCAGGCGGAGCAGGGAGGCCTGTTTTTCCTGTTTGCTGGCTCCGAGAGTCTGGCCTCATCCCAAGGAACCCTGGCAGCCCGCCCGGGGGGATGCTGTTGGCCAGGTGTCTGGCACCCTGGCCCGGCCAGCTGACACAGGGCTGTCCCTGGCTCATGGAGTCTGAGCGCGTGGCCGACTGCTCAGAGAGTGGCGGGTGCTCGGAGGGTGGACAAGGCTCTGTGCCCTGGGGCTGCCGCTCGGGGTTCCTGGGGGTCCTGGGAGGTCGCCTGCCGGGCTCTGCACCCTCACTTGAGGCGGACCCCTGTTAAGGCACCTCGGCGGCTCTGGGAAGAGGGTCCACGCTGCCCCTTCCATGGAGGACAGTGCCTGGGACCCTCAGCAGCCCACCTTGCCAAGTCTTAGCTCTGAGCAGACCCTGGCCCCTCCGGGTGCTGTTGGTCTCCTGGGCCTTTCAAAGGCCGCCGGAGTGGGCGCTGCACCGCGGGTCTCGACGAASAGTGGGGAGTTCTCTCCCAGCAGCAGGAAGGCGGTCGGGGTCCCAGGACTGGAAACCCGGGTCCCTGTGGGCCTCATTGTGGCCGGTGCCTCAAAGTGGTGTGTATGTATGTGTGCGCGTGCGAGTGCATGTGTGCGTGTGCACAGATGTGACCTACATGGGGCTGGGAGAGCTTTGGATGGATTCACTTCAGAGCTTTGCTGGGTGGCTCCTGGGTGTCCGGCTGAAGGGCAGGGTTTTGTGTCAGGCCGACTCCCCGCACCCTCTGTGCCCTCTGTGCCCGCTGTGCCCTCTGTGCCCTCTGTGGCCTTGCATTTTATGGAAGAAAGAGAAAATGAGTTAAAATTTTCTTTAGGGTCTTTAAGGTAAAACGGTGGTGTGTGGTGGGCGTGGGTGGTAAGATCGAACCCAAACAGGGCAGGGATCAGGAAATTTACTATGTTTTTAACAGTAAAAATCCTATGCTCTCTTTGACCTGGTAGGAATGGAGAACACACATCTTACAGTAAACTAAGGTGCAGAGAAAAGTTGGGTAACTTAAACAGTCTCCTGATTTGTGCCTTTGTCCCTTGGCTCTCTGAAACGTGCATTTGATCCAAGAGCTACTGTTCTTCTTTATTATGATGAACTTTAGACTTATCCAAACTTATTTTTCTAATCAAARTTATTTATGCTTCATTGTTTTAAATGTGCACTGTTTCTGTACGATTTTTTTTAAAGGGGTCCACTGGATGGTTGGGAAGCTTTCCTGGGGGAGGACGCTTTGGCTGTCACCCGGGTGGATGCAGCGGAGCTGCCCAGGCCACAGGGTGGAGTGGGCAGGGCCTCCTGGTAGCGGGGACAGCGAGGGCAGAGGTCCGAGCTGGCGGGAGTTTGGGGGACTCGGTGGGGAGGCGGTGGCGGATGAGCAGGGAAGGTCGGCAGGTGCCCCGCTGCTCAGACTCCAGAGCGCATCAGCGGGAACTGGCCCCAAGTCTGCAGAGAGAAGAGGAAGTGGAAAGGAGAAGAGAGATACCATCTGAGGCCTCCTGCCCAGAGGGACATGAGCAGAGCAGGGGGGTGTGGGCTCTGGAGATGGCGTGACAATCCAGGAGGGCAGTGTCACGGCAAAGAGAGCCTGCACCTCAGGTTTAGGGGTCCTCGGAGAGTTCTCTTAGCCCGAGCGGAGGCTGGCACCTCGTGGGCGTCTCACCCATCTCCACGCCACTGACAAACCTCCTTGACATCCCCGGAAAACTGCATCCAGGACGCCCTGCTTCTCGCTGCTCCCTCCCGGGATCATCGGCCAGGACAAGGACGGTCACCTCCTCCCCAGTCACTTGGCTTCTGTCCCTCTGGTTCATCTTCCAACCAGTGTCTGGAAGGATCATGTTAAAACCTAGGACAGGCTGTGATCCTCCTCTGCTTGCACCCTCCCACGGCTCTCTTGACCAGGAGTCAAAGTCTTACTGTGTCTCCTCACTGTCCTCACCTCCTCCCACTCTCCTCACCCCCTCCCACTCTCCTTACCTCCTCCCACTCTCCTAACTCTCTGCTCCTCTTCCCACTGGCCTTTTGATTTTTCTATGCAATCACAGGAGTGGTCTGCCCCAGGGCCTTTGCAGACCACTGTTCCTTTTGCCTTGAATAGCTTGGTAGTTCATGTCTTCAGTTTTTTGCTGGGACTTCACCCTCTGGGTCAAGCTGTTTGGGCTTCCCTGTTTAAAATTGTACCTCCTCCCACCCATTCTCACCATCTGCATCTTTCCTTTAATTTTTCTCTATCTTCAGTCATCAGGTGATACGCTGTGACAGTTGTCATTTCCTGTTGATGTCCCCCTGCCTCCCTCCCACCTGGACGAAAGCTCTACACTTGCAGAGACTTTCACTCAGGCCACACTTTTATTGAGCCTCTGTTGGGCATCTCTATTGGAGATGGAACAGGGTGGCAGGCAGCCCTGCCTGGGAGCATGTCCCAGCTCCCGGGGGCCACCCGTCCTGCTGCCTCTGTCCCTAGCGTTGCTACCTCCCTGCTGAGGGTAGATCCTCCCATCCTCCCATGTGCGGCCAGTCACTGCTGCTGCTCCTACCAGCCAGAGCACAGCTCCGGGGCCACCCCTCGCTGCCAGGGAAGAGAACAGTGCCGTCTTCAGGCGGATGAGGGTGCCAAGGGTCCAGGAGAATGGCTGGCATCCTCTGCCCTGAGCTTCCTATTGGAACTTGAGCCAAGCCCCACCTCTCTCCAAAGCCTCCCTGTCCATGCATCMTCTCTGTGCAGTGCTTGGGTGTACACAGCACGGCTCGTGGCCAACAACATGGGCATCCTCCAGGAGCTTGGTATAATGCAGAGTCTCAGGTCTCCTTCTCCAAATCGGCTGAGTTAGCATCWGATATTCTAAGATGTCCTGTGAGTTCAAGGTGCAGGAGATGCTGCTGGTCTGTGGACACCCTTGGAGTAGCCAAGTCCAGATCAGGGCTCACAGACTCCTCAGGGCTCTTGTTCAAATGCAGATTCTGACTTGGTAGACCTGGCGCGGGGCTTGAGGTCTTAGCAATTCCACTGAATTCCAAGATGAGGCTCATGCTGCCRTCCCATGGACCACACATTGAGTAGCAAGGGCCTCAGGCCTTCAAGGTACAAACAAGCACAACCCGGATGGCTTAAACAACCACAATTCACTCTCTCACAGTCCTGGGGGCTGAGACTGAAGCCCAGGAGTGAGAGGACCCTTCTCTGTGTGTGAAATCT